TTGGAATCCCTCTATATGCCATTGGATCAGTAAATTAGTGAAGCCAAAGTAGATCATCCAATCAGCCAGCGAAGCCAGCGATGTCAAATGCAGCTTCCAAAATTCAAGCAACCTGTCCTGATAATAAAGCTTTGTAAAAAGGTTTTACCCTACGCCTCGAAACCTCCTCGTATTTTACCACTTTCTTAAGAAGTACGTATTTTTAATGTATACAGAAGCAATATTTTTTTGTTTTCCATTGTTTATACATAAGCCACAAGCATCGTATTTAAAGTAATCTATATAAAATTAAGGTCTCATATTGATTGATGACTCTGGGAAAATTCGGTTCCTTTCGTTTATCTCCGGAAATATTCCGAATTTAGAACCCTGCTATGGGTTATTTTCTTACTTACCTAAATGCGAAACTTCACCTTCATTCACCCGACTTCGTATCGAATCTCATTTTATCCCGGATAACTTGGACGTGCAAAATAGCATTAGGCTGACTATCTCCAAGTACTTTATTGTTTTTCGAAGTATTCTCCACGAAGATTAATACACATATGCTTACCCTCGAACCAATTTTCGAAGCACTTATTCCACTCGTTTGCTGGCAGATCCAAAACGGCATTTTTGAATGCGTCAACTGCTTGTTCTAGTGACTGGAACCTTTAACCACGCAGTCTGTTTTTAATCGGGGAAGTAAAGAAATCGATAGGACTTAGATCGGGACTATATGGAGGATGGTCCAATAATTCCACGTTTTCTTCCGTTAAATACTGCCTTGTTTTTTGGGCTGGGTGCGACCTTGTATTGTCTTGGTGGAGGATGATTCGTCTTTCGGGGTTGATTTTTCGAAGCTCGGTGATGATTTTTGGCAAACAAATGGTGGTATACCAATCCGCAGTAACAGTTCTTTGCTCATTAAGAGGAATTGTTGCAATACGACCCGCTTTTGACACAAATGTCGCGACCATCTTTTTCGAAACACTTCGAGAACGGATGACTTTTGTTGGCTTTTCTTCACCTTGGAACACCCAAACACCCGACTGTCGTTTATTTTCTGGTTCATAACAGTAAATCCACGACTCATCACCACCAGCAATGCTGTACACACTTCTTTGGTTTCCGGAATTGAAACGGTCAAGTGTTTTTTGACACCAATTAACCCTGGCTGCTTTCTGCTCTCCAGTCAACGAGAAACTAATTTTCGTACTCTTCTGACTCCTAAACAGTAACTCAGCAGGTCATTCTTGTTCGGATAATAATTGTTTCTCAAAGTTGTAATAAATTATGGCGTGAAAATGTTCTCGGTTGAGTTCCATTTTTCTAATGACTTGGTAACACTTAAAAATTAACTGTAGTGAGAACACTGCACGTACTGTAGTGAAACATTGAATTTAAGTTTACTAAAGAGTGAGGTTAAGATTCAGAACTGACGTTCGAGCCGCGCGACCTACTATGTTTCTATATGCAAAACTTAAAAGACATCCCTCGTAGAATTCAGTGGTTTATGGTTCAAGCATCTGAGGGATATTCGCTTCGTGCTGATATCCTTCTCGGCACGGCTATTACGTATCTTGAAAAGTGACATTATCTCGATTTTTTAACGTTATATTAGTTGTTTGTGACTTCTATTCATCACTGTCCGTCAGAGCGGTCCGAGGGACCTTCGCTCTTTGTTAAAGTATCGTAAGTCAGTAGGTCTGTCAGATTTGGTTGCCCAGATACCAGACGAAGTCAGGGAGAAAGAAATGAAGAAGAAAGAAAGGAAGGAAGGGGGAAGAGCAAAGAGGGTGAAGTGCGTCAGTTAAAGGGATGCCTTGTTGTTCGGTTATTTCAAATTGATCCAAAAATTAATTTAGGAATGTGATTTTGTTGAATGTCAGTTGGGATGAACTGTTTTCGCGTTGTTCGGATGTTAATGAAATGGTTGAAAGTTTCACGGTTAAGATTAAAGATGTAATTGAAGCATGTGTTCCTAAATTCAAAATTAAGCATAACTATCCTATTTACTTTAAGCAAGAAACTATCAGAATTACAGAACGGAAGAAAATTTTTCACAAACAGTTTAAATTGTATAAAGACTCAGTAGCTTACTCTCAATACTCCGCATTGAGGAAAAAACCAAGCAAAGCCAAATATTTTCAAAACTATGCAACAAATACAGAGGATGAAATCCAAGTTGACTCAAAGAAATTTTGGAAATTCATCGCAAACAGTAGGAATTCAGATGCACGCATCCCCCGGGAAGTAACATACAAAAACAAAACTGCTAATTAGCCAATTGAAATATGTAATTTATTTGCCGAGTACTTCGGTAGCGTAGCGTCTTTTCCACAAATAATGATTTCGAAAGTCCTGTGGATGAAGGAATACTTAAAGGCATAAAAACTGTTCATGAAAATCACGTACTCTCTAGATATCAAGAAATCTACAGGAATTGACAATATACCTCCATTATTCATCAAAAAATGTAAAATCAATTTGTATAAGCCACTTACCTTAATTTACAATACCTCCTTAGAATATAACACATTTCCCGATGCTTGGAAGAAATAATCCGTTACGCCTATCTTTAAAAGTGGAAACAGGTACATAGTAGACAACTACAGGCCTATTAGCAAGCTGTGCATATTTATCCCCATTATTATACTTTTTGACGTAAGCTTTTCAGGAACAGCATGGATTTTTTTCGAAAAGATGCTTGGATACCAATTTGCTTTGTTTTTCTGACCGCCGTAGTCAATGCTATTTTTGCTGACTTCAGCAAAGCTTTCGATCGAGTAAATCATAATTTGCTATTAAGAAAGCTTGCTGACGTTGGTGTTCGTAGCACCCTTGTAAAGTGGGTTCCATTTTATTTGCGTGATAGGGAGTTCTTAGTGTGTATGAACGATACCTCGAAAATTGTTACTCCGACGTCTGGAGTTCCTCAGGGTAGCCACCTAGGTCCTCTGTTCTTCCTAATCTACGAGTATATTAACGATATCGCTCAATGTTTCAGCCATTGTCAATTCCTTGTTTACGTAGACGATTTAAAGATGTACCGTATAGTTGAGAACCTTCAGGACAATGCGATATCATCAGACTCAATGATTATTGTCAGACAAATGATCTGCCACTCAATATTAATAAGTGCTTCTAAATTAGGTTTACCAAAGAAGGAACGTATTGTATCAGATAGATGATGTTAATATTAATTCGGTGAACACTATACGGGACCTGGGTGTTACACTTGATACGAAATGGAGCTTTAATAACCACATAGATAAAACCATTAACAAAACCATTAAGATGCTTGGCTTTATTAGGAGACACTCTGGATACTTTAATATCCCTGCTACACTGGTATCACTATATTATGCGTTTGTACATAGTAAGCTCCCATTCGCGTCTATTATTTGGAACCCACACTACGAAGTCCATATAAGAAGGACTGAGTCTGTCCAACATAAGTTTCTACGGGTTATGGCGTATAAGGCGAATATCAATATACATAATCATGATTATAGCTTGGTAATGGAACATTTTAAAATCTTACCTCTATTTAAGAGAAGGGTATTATCTGATTTGTGCTTTATTCACTAAATCTTAAACAACCAATTTGACTTTTTATTCCGTTTTGCAGAACAAATGTTGGATTAAACTCTCCGCTAATACGAATTAGGGATGTTCCGATCCAAGTAAAATAACGATACCAAGTATCGATTTGTATCGTTTAATGCAGTATCGATCCATTAAATTATCGGAATAAAAATATCGATGCCTTGCGATACGGAGCATACACTAAACACTACCGACAATCGAAGTTGCTTTTTTTACAACCCTCTAAATAACGTCACTTTTTTCAACTGCATGACGATTGTCAAATAAGTTCACAAAAAATAGGTAAAAAATAAATACTGTGTACAAGTGTATGTGAGACAAGAATCCAATGGAATTATCATCGACACATACAACTTACAGCTTAGATCTCCAGTAATGCCATCCCTTAAGCAGTTCTTACATCACATCAGAGTCATTCATTGATAGCTGAAGCCTCATGACGTTTAGGCAACACGTACATCTAAGTGCTAAGTTAACGTCTTGTAGAAAAACCTATATAATGACACAAAAAACCAATACAATGTCAAAGAAAATCGGCATAATGTCACTTTTCTTATCAGATATCGTCCTAATATTGTCATATTTGTGTTTGATACTGTACACCAGCGCAGCCATGGGCTAGAGTGTATGCACAACCAATTACCTGAACATTGTTGTGGGACGATTTAGGATTAGTGAAATAGCATTAATCAATGGCATTTGTTTGATGCGACCGCTTATAAGGATAATTGAATAAATGCGTAGTATACAGGGTTATCCAAATTAAGTGTCCACCATTAGTAACTTTGTTATTAGTGAAAATACAAAGTTGTTTGAATTAGCAAACTAGTAGCATTTTTAACGCTGGTAAAAATGAGAAATAAAAAAAACAATTGAGAGTCGTTATTTTGATTTTTTTCAGTAAAATAACATTTTTTTAAATGGAAACCCCTGTATATTATATTTTTTTTCTGTTAAAGCATCAAATTTTAAACAAAAAAGCTTACAATAACTTTTCTCCTAGGTTACAAATTGTTGAAGTTATGGCCTCCAATCTGAAACAATTAAATTGTATCGACAAACTTTATTTTCAACATCAACTTATAATCTTACAAAATACAATAACAATTTTTTTTAAAGAAGATGCTCGAAAACACCACCTTGTTCTTCAATACATTTTTGGGCACGTTTTTCAACTGCTCGAACTGTCTTAAGTATGGTCCTACCATCTATCTGGGTTATCTTTTCCCTAACTGCAGTCTTTAACGCGTCAAGGTTATCGTACCTTCGCTTGTAAATTTGGTTCTTTAAGTAACCCCACAAGAAGTAATCAAGTGGGTTTAGATCTGGTGATCTGGGAGGCCACTGTATTGGGCCATTTGTTCCTATCCACTGATCATTAAAAGTAGTACTTAGAAAATGATAAGTACCTCTGGAGTTGTGGGCAGGTGCGCCATCTTGCTGAAAATGCAGATGATGTGTACTTATAAGATCCAATTCGTCTAAGAAATTAGTCAGAATTTCTGACATAAATTCCACGTATCTTTCACCAGTTAGGGTTCCCTCATAAATAAATAATAATAATAAAATTAAAATCCATACTTCATGGGCTATCCCTCTGTTATTTCGTTCTCTTTTGAATACTATTTTTGACATGTTTAACATATAACCTAATCACTGACGTTTTTCATATCTTAAATGTCAAAAATGAATACTCGTCCGCAGTCCTTCGTTCCGAATCGCAAGATCTGTCCGTCCTTGAAATGTTACACTACCATTTGGTCATAGTTGCTTTCTGGCTATTTTCGCAAGTAAACTGTGAGATTTTTACAGCCTTGACCGATCTTCGCGAACTTGTTAATACAGAAGCAGTGTTTGTACAGACTTTGGAGAATTACATACGAGTGGAGGAGTTGAGGATTGGTCGTCTTAAGAGATATATTTACAGTCATCACTATGAAAAAGCTGCAAAAGATGTTGAATCATATGTTGGTAATCCTGTGAATGCATATATCTTAATCAAGCAGTTAATTATAGATTGGGAAGAAGTGGAGTCAATAATACAGTCAAATGCTGGTAAAGATTACATGAAAAATCTTGTTGCTGCCAAAATGAACATGAAATATCCTACAGAAGAAGACTTAAATGGTGCTGCAGTAGGTATATTTAGATTGCAAGACACTTATAACCTAGATACTGCTTCACTAGCAAGAGGCGAGCTAAGGGGAGTGAAGTATAGCTCAGAACTAACAGCAGCTGAGTGTTTCGAGCTAGGAAGACAGGGCTACAACAATGATGATTTTTATCATACGATATTATGGATGCAAGAGGCCAGCAACAGGTTGAGTAAGGAACAAAATAAGACAGCAAAGAGAAGTGACATTTTCGATTACTTAGCGTTCTCGATATATAAAGAAGGAAACATTAGTCTTGCCTTAGAACTAACAAACAAATTATTGGAAATGATTCCAAAACACGAGAGAGCACTAAAAAATAAAGAGTATTATGAAAAACAGCTTCAAGAGTTCAAAGAAAATCAAGGGAGTGGAATAGAAGTGCAGGTAGAGAACGAATTGAGCTATATGACAAAGAGACATCAATCGCTCTGTCGTGGAGATCTGAAACTTCTAGATGAGGTTATCGCAAGACTGAAGTGTAGATATGTGACGAACAACAATCCATACCTTTTAATAGGACCATTCAAAGCTGAAGATCTGCATATTGATCCTGATCTAGTCTTATTCCATAATGTAGTAAGTGATCAGGAAATAGAAAAGATAAAGAAACTGGCAATACCAAAGCTTCAAAGGGCGCAAGTAGTGGAGCCTGCAACAGGTCAACTGAAGACGGTACAGAACAGAATCAGCAAATCAGCTTGGTTTGAAGATATTGAGCATGAGTACGTTGCTGCAATCAGTCAAAGAGTAGAAGATATGACCGGATTATCTGTATCAACGTCAGATCCGCTCCAGGTTGCTAACTATGGCATTGGTGGGCATTATCTTCCACATTATGACTTTGCACAGAAAGGCGATGCGCCATTTCCGAAAGGAGACAGAATCGCAACAGTATTGTTCTACATGAGTGACGTTGAGCAGGGTGGGGCAACTGTCTTTCCTATAACGGGTGCATCTGTTTATCCTAAGAAAGGTACTGCAGTATTCTGGTATAACTTGTTTCCTAGCGGAGATGGGGATAGTAGAACCAAACATGCTGCTTGTCCTGTGTTGGTTGGCTCAAAATGGATATTCACCAAATGGATCTACGACAGAGGTCAAGTGTTTTTGAGGCCTTGCACCCTTGAACGACCTCCAGATGACCTAACAATATGAGTTAGTGTGATTTTTTTTACAACTACTGTATAAATTAAATATCGAAGTCAAGCTTTGGTTCCATATATTAGTACTTCTCGGGCTTTGTTACGGTTTTAAGGTGAGGTGGGACAGAAGGTTGACTTTATAACTTCCACGTTATCCAAATGGCTCCTTGTAAAATTATCCATGTGCAATTTCATAGATACAGAGGGGCATCGGAAAATGTAGGCTTTGTGAAAACAACAAAAAAGTCCCCAGAGTTCAGCGATGAATGGAGAGTTGCTGTGAAACTGTTTGACATCAATATTTGATATCTGATTTAAGTACCTTTTGATACATACTTATATACTAGATGATACTACCGAAAAAAAGTAACCACATTTAATTACACTCCAAGTATGACGCTCATCGTCAGGCTGCCCCAAAATCACGGATCAAACGAAGGGCGTGACAGGAATCAGAAATACCAGATATGTCCTCATCTGACGATTTTTGAAATGAAGAATTTGTAGAAAATCGCAGCTTTCGCTTCTTTTTTTTCTGGAATTATCTTTTGTTTTTTCCCGACCAGCTCTACATGACATATTGCCCAATAATGTATTATCGGAAGAAACATGTCACTGAAAGATAGGTTCAGTTAATGAAAGTATAGCAATTGGTTTAGGCTTAATTTCACCCCATGTCAGAAATATTACAGCATCTTCAAGTAGGCCTGTAGAAAATAATAGTGGTTAGATAAAGTGTCCATAGTTATGGGACTATTTTTTATAGAATCAATCAAGCTAAGATGCATAAGATTGAAAAACGCTCATCCTCGAAAATTTTCATTTTGTGAACCTAATTCTTCTACATTCCGAATAGAATCGGAAAACAATTATGGGACAATAGGGTCTCAAATTCAAATAAATGCCAGGTCTACACTATGTAAGGGCTAAAAACAGTGAGGTGCCATATTGCCTGATCCAATTACAGCTTTTTGTTATACAAATAGGATAATACAACATGCATAGGAAAATAAATTAATGTCCGAACTATAGAAGGGATGTAGGTACAATGCCAATCTTAGTCCACTTGAGTGATTCTGTTATTGCTGTTCGAAGCAACAGTCTCCACAGTACTTCATGCACGCTTGAGCCGACTGTACGAAGTGTTTATGGTGATGCAGCGCTCGCATTAGAGAAAAAAAGCATTTTGATCACATCCTGTTGTGGATACATTTCCGCAGCAAGTCACGCATGATAGAGCGGATTGTAAGAAATTTTCACGACGATGCAGAGCTCGCATTGGAGGATAAGAGCATTTTGAACATCTGTGAATATCTCTTGTTATGTATACAAAGTACGACTATTGTCAGAGCCGCAACAACATGCATAACTATTTTTGTACAAAGAAAATTATTTCTTATACCAAGGCTCAGGTATCTTATTCATAGGATTTACTTACGTTTGAGCATTTATCATTCCTTCCTCCCATATGGATGAAAAGAGGATGATAACTGCGGTTGTAGGATTCGGTAATATGGCTGGGCTTACGTAACTTTCTTGTGAGTCAAAACAATGCCAAGGCCGCCATCCCTTACATTGATTAGAATTGAATTTGAGGATTTGTGACCCCTTCATTGTTCCTTGACGGTATTGCAAATGCAGAAGATTGAAAGTGCCAGTTGCAGGATCAAGATTACAAAATAGAAAATTATCAGATTGCGGATACCTGCATCAGTCTGTCAATCTTCGCGCAAATTATTCAGGATTCTTGATCATCTGAAAGATATTTTGGAAGGCAGTAATGTTTGAGTCTTCTCTAACTATGGACAGTTCATCTGCTCATTAATTTTTTGTACAGCACTACTTGAATAAAATATGCTGTAATATTTTTGATATCAGGTAAAAATACATTTAAGACGGCTTTTACATTACACCTATTAGATTTTGTGTTCAGTCGTCTTTTTCAAATAGTACATTTGCGAACATAACCTGTAATTCTAATTTATAAATAAAAAAAAAAACATTAGACAAAATATTGCAGTCTCAGTAGTGCTCCTACAAAGAATGTAACCCCTGAAACTTGTCCTGTGGTTTTCAAGGTCATTTTATTCCATTTTCTGACAGATTCAGACCACGTATAGGTTCGAATTCTTGTTTATTGTAGTAGCCTTCTTCAAGTACAATGTCGTTATTATCATTGTACTTTGGTGGTTGAAACGTCGTACAATAACTAAGAATTTAAGCATACGTGTGGATTGATTCAGCCAGACAATGGAGTCTTGTCGCCCAAATATTTTCTAAAAATCAGGAAACTCTCTGAAACAAACGAGGTTTCAGAGCTTATTTCTACCATTTTCAGACCATAACGCTGCCATCAATGTATGGACTTTCAAAAACTACAAGGTTCTTTAGTCCTTGAAATTTAAGTAATCTTGCATCGGAAACTCTACAAAATCCAAATGTGTTGGCCATGTTATAGCGTGTTCAGGATTAGCAGATAGACCGACCGAAATGAGTGGTCGGAGTCAAGATCTAGCACGCACACATTTCGTCAATCACGGCATCTACTGGAAAAGAGCTAGGCTAAGAAGTAGGTACTTTTCACATAACCTCCTCACTCCTCACAAGGGCCAGATAAGACCTAGCCTCGAGTACTGCTCACTTGTTTGGGTGCGAACTATATTATCCATGCTCGAGGCTGTTCGAAGGAGGGCAGTCCGACTGTTCTATGACTCTCTTCGAATTGACAGACTTGGGACTCCTTGGTCTCGACAAGCCGTCCACGATCTTGCTCCGTTCTAACACTACGCGAACAGGCTAACCGTGTCGAATTTTGTACATCCCAAACTGGCATACGCGACCGCTCCTTTGTCCCTAGGGTATCGAGATTGCGAAACAATCTGTATTTTCAAATTCTTCTCACCTTAGTCGGTTCATATTGGCAAAGCTAATTCAAGCTCCTCATAGTAGCCGCGGTGCCTGATGCTTAGGTTTCTGTCTGCGCGGCAGCTTCGGTATAAAAAAAATAAGGTATCCCATTTCAATACTTTTCGAGGTTATAATACCTCCCCGACAATTGGCGTGGGAAGTAAAACATACTGCACTGCTTGAGAGGTAGCACCGATCCCCTAATGTCATTTACTTTATATTGTATTTGTCGCAGCATAACCAATATACGTCAACTCTCTTTCAGCCTAGAAAGACCGACCCTATATAGTTTGTAGCTCGACCGTATTCAAAAAACACAACTTTCGTCATAAATCGACAGATGTATTGCTTTCGAAAGCGGTCGGAAAAAGTTTGTACCGCTGCCACTTTGTTGATGTTGTGCTTTGAATGAATGAATCTTGAATTTTAGAGGCATCCCGGCCACCATAAGGAGCCAGTGCATAGGCCGCTTAAGCGGGCCCTTATGCACCTCTACAATACTTAAATCACAAGCCTCGCCCTTTTAGCGAAGTTGAGAATCGCCTTGAGTCCAAGCTCCTTTACGTCCTGAGGGTCCAAAGTAATGGACCCCAGTATAGTCTGCCTATAGTAGCTCAGAGCTTCACAGCGACACAAAACGTGCGCCGAGGTCTCTTCCTCTACTCCGCAGCGTTCGCATAAGGGATCCTCAGCCACCCCCATCACGTGCAGGTGCCGCCTTAACGTGTTATGGCCAGACAACAGTCCCACCAGCAACCTTAGGTTGGCTCTACCCAGAGATAGGCAGAAGCGTCCATCCTTAGCACTGGGCCCTTCAATGAGCTCTCGTGCCTGGCGGAGATGTCTAGAGATACTTCTCCATTTCTGAGAGTGTTGTCTTGCAACCCACGTCTCCATTTTCCTCCTAGCTTTATGCGCGGTTACTCCTAGAGCTGGCTCAGGACCAACGAGCTTGCTGGCTGATCCTGTTTTCGCCAGAGTGTCCGCCGTCTCATTGCCCCTTATCCCAGCGTGCCCCGGTACCCATATTAACGATACCGGATGCCTCGCTGCGAGGCAATCCAGAGCCTCCCTGCATTGCAATACAAGACTCGAAGTAATCTTACATGCACTTAGTGCTTTCATTGCAGCCTGGCTGTCGGATAAGATTGTTATTCTTCTCCTAGGCCCACCCTCCTCCAGAATGTGAGATACACAAGCCAGAATCGCAAAGATTTCCGCCTGGAAAATGGTGGTGTACTCACCGAGAGGCAGAGATAGCCTAGTTCTAGGTCCAGAGACCCCAGCACCTGAGCCCTCTTCGGTGACCGAGCCGTCCGTGTACCAGACCTGCCCGCTCACTTCGGAGAGTCCTCGGCTACCGGCGTCCCACTCCTCCCTCGTTGGGTACTCCACAATGAACTTGCGGTTGAAGCGATATTTAGGGGTAATACGATCACCCCTGCTTAGAAGGACGGGGTCCTCCCTATCTAATTCGACTAATATGGCAGTATGCCCCTTGACCGGATTCAAGAAAGCCCAGCTGCCCTGACTCCACAGTCGATGAGCGACTACTCTCGCTTCACCGCGGATCACCAGATCCAACGGTGGGAGATCCAACAGAGCTTCCATTGCACTCAATGGCGTTGTTCGCACTGCGCTTGTAATGCTAATACAGGCCAAACGCTGAATTTTATTGAGTTTGGCCTTAGTTGACTCAGTTCTAATGCAAGGCCACCAGACCAGGGAGCCGTACAAGAGAGATGGACGTACTATCGTCGTGTAGAGCCAGTATACCACTTTGGGTTTAAGCCCCCACCTTACACCGACAACACGTCTACAAGCCCACATCGAATTGCGAGCCTTGCTAACCTTGTGTTCCACATGCTCTCTCCAGTTCAGTTTGCAGTCCAGGATAATTCCCAGATATTTCACTGACTGGGACAAAACTAATCTAGTCCCAAAGAAGGTAGGCATGACCAGTCCGTCAAGCCTTCTTCTCCTAGTGAATAGGATCAGCTCGGTCTTTTCAGCATTAACAGAAAGATCGACTTCCCTACACCACGATTCCACGGAGCGCAGAGCGCCCTGCATAATTTCCGAGACTGTTCTACAGAAACGCCCCCTAACCACTATGCTTACGTCATCAGCAT